TCCTGTTTTTGTTAAGAGTTATCTTTACATTCATGGTATGGATTTTTTTGAAATGCTGTTTTTTTTTATATATATAATATGCATGTTTAACTGGAACAGTGACAAAACCTATAAATGTTTTAAAAAAAAACGCAACAAAAATATACACATTCGAAGTTACTGAGAAACAGATGGATGTTGTAATTAATTGGGAAGACATGTACGTTTCAATATGCATGAAATGACAAGTTTCTATCAAGGATTATGTAAATTAGTTCTATACTGTATTCATGAAATATACTGGACTCGCACTACAACAGAAATGTGCACCCAAGATTGATCAGAAATTGAGTTTTCCACAGTGAAAACATTCAACAAGGTACAGATGACACTGGGACAGAAGTTGTACGAGTCTCATTGTATGATTGTATTTATCTTCTTTGCTTAGTGACTGCCTGATACATGTGCTTGTAGTCTTTGTTTAATGGCTTCTATTTGTAGACACTTTCTCTGTTTAAATTTAAATGTCAATCCTCTTTTTGTCATTAATTAGTTCTCATAATCAATCTCAATTTTGTTATGGTAATAAATGGTGAAATTAATATTTTTGTTATTGTTCTACTTTTGTTTCTTAGTGATGAACCTATCAGTAAACTTTATCGTATATACCTGTCTCTGGTTTGCAGTATTAAAACATGTCACAATATCGCCAATGGAGGCCATGGTTAATTTCAACATTTTTTTTTTTTATTATTGACAAAAGAAGTCAACAGGATTGGACATCTGGCATTGCCTATATAAGTCTTCTCCTTACAGCTACATCCGGTGGCGAACACATTGTTTACATACATTAAAGACATTTACATTATAGATACACAAACGGGATGTAACTCCTCTAAAGCAGATTAGATAATAGTGATGTGAAAAGGAGGGCGAGCTAGGCCATGGTTGAAATCACTGTGATAAAATAATTCCCAGGATTTGATCAGTACTATAAAGTGTTAAATGTGAGGTCAAAAGCAGTGGTCAGGTATAGGAATCAATATTATGCACCAGTCGAAAATGTTGAATTAGTGAAGTTTTGCTTTTTGTGCAAACGTCACATTGTTAAATTTTTTAACTTCATTATCTTTTATAGCATATCAAAATAAATGTATATTGTAAAGAATGGAGCTTAACTAATGATCAGTTAAGGTGTACATGAACTAATGTGCAATAGAAGAAAGAAAAGTAAATAAAACAGAACAACAGTTTAACAAAACTGTCATATTTATCATGCAATATATATATATATACAAACATGTATGTAAAAATACTAAAGAGCAATGGAATGAGACTTGGGATTATGACTGTTGTACTTTTAATAATTCAACCTCTTCGTTGAACTTTGTCACGAAGTCAGGGTCAGTACAGTGGAGTTTCAACATAAAATCATTCCGCTGTTTGTCTGTCCAGCTATCGAACCACTGCATGAAGAGTTTGATCTGACATTGGAATATACTCGGAGGCTTGTCAGAGCTCACATTCAAAGCATGCATGGCATCAAATAAGGAGTCAACATTAGTCGGCACGGCACGCTCAACCAGTTCACACATGAAATCACCCTTTTGCATTACACTCCAGTTATTGAACCAGCTAATGACGCACTCCGTTTCTTTATCATAGTTTGAAAATGACATGTTTATATTGTACACTTGCACAAAGTTAGATCAGAGCATCAGCTATGTAAGTCCATGATGTTTGCCTCGTATGATGAGCAATTTCTTTTACGTTGGGATCCTTTTCCAGCAATAAACTGAGCTTCCTGTGCATGTGTTGGGCCGAGTCTAGGCTGTACCAGCAATCTTGATGAATTCTTTAAACTGGTACCTCTTCTTCCTTTGTGGGAATAAAAGATGAACATGTATACAAGGAAAGTAACACTATAATAATACTGCTTCTGTTGAAAAGCTATAAGCTATAATTATTTAAAGTTATATAGAAAAGCTATAAAAAGACAAACATGTATACAAGGAATATAACACTATAATAATACTGCTTATGTTGAAAAGCTATAAGCTATAATTATAGAAAGTTATATAGAAAAGCTATAAAAAGACAAACATGTATACAAGGAATATAACACTATAATAATACTGCTTATGTTGAAAAGTTATAATTGCAATTTACAAAAAACGAAATCTTCCTGATGTCTGTATAGATCTGTCAAAATGGTATCAAGTTTGGTATTGGTGTACCAGGAGAAAGAGAAATGCCACGGCCAGACCTGGGTTTGAATCTGGACCCTCCGAACTCTAGACAGACTCTGCTACCAATTGAGCTTCCTAGTCGCCAACGATCGACCTAGTTAAGTTCGGCTACATTCCTCCCTCCTTTTTTCTAAGTCTTCACTCCCGAAGACACAACTTATTACAGGATATCCCCTTGCTAAGCATTCACCCAGTGTTTGAAACATTTAGGGTTGGCAAGCTTGCCAGTTTTGTAACGGGTCGAGAAAGAGAAATGCAATGGCCAGATCAGGGTTCGAACCTAGGACCCTCCAAACTCTAGACAGACTCTCTACCAATTGAGGTAACTGGTAGCCGACGATCGACTCGGTTAATTGTAAGTTCCTCTATATTGGGACCAGAGGTCTGAGCTAGTATACTTAGTTAGCACATTTGAACATCTCAATCTAATTAAAATCATATACCGGTACCTCTTCGATCGATCGTTATCTGCTCTCAAAACAAAACCTCTTGAGTCAGGAAATAAAGTATAGTGATCTATGATATAAAAGTAAAGGCGTGAAGTTTTTATAAAAAAATAGCACTATAAAATGCCATTATACATTCTAAAGTACAAATCTACAGTGTATGAACCATTTACTGTGACTATCAATTGAATTTCAATGTGTGTTGTGAATGGGTTATCAATTCAGATTGTAAACCAACTTGGACACCCTTTTTTTTTTTGTTAAATGTAGTTTATATAACCTACCTAGATCGATAGCTATCTCAGATGTGATTCTCATCTATCTACAAAACAGAGTCCAAACAGTTAGAGCAGGCTGCAGTTCTTCTTTCCAGACAATCAAAGCTGGAGTACCGCAAGGATCCATACTTGGTCCATTAATGTTTATTATCTATATTAATGATATGCCACTTTATGTAAAAAAAATGCCTTGCAGATATGTATGCAGATGACAGTACCCTGCATGTAAAGGGAAATAACTATATTGATATTGCCACAAATCTTCAGGAGAACCTGAATCATGTATTGAGATGGTGTACAAATAACAACATGAAACTTAACCAGCAAAAGACTACTAGTATGATCATTGCAAATAAGCATAAACTCTCCATTCAAAGTCCATTAAAACCGTATGTCAATGGAGAAGAAATTATGTCGTCGTCCTGTCAAAAGGTATTGGGCATATATATTGAAGAAAATCTTAGTTGGACAACCCAGGTAAAAAAGGTTTCTTCCAAATTGGCCAATGCCGTTGCATTACTTAGAAAAATGAGTGGATATGATCTGACTACAGAAGCCAGGAAAGTTTATATATAACTCGTATATTCTCTGAATACTCGATTATGCAGCAATTGTGTGGGGAAATGGGTTATCAAAAGGGCAAACCACTCAAATTATAAAAATTCAAAAAAAACCTCTACATATTATTTTAAATCTCCCTATGTTAACCAAGTAAAAGCTTTTTTGAGGAAAATAATACTCTGCCATTCACATTCAGAGTAAAATACCACACATGTATATTAGTCTACAAATCTTCAAATGACATGGCACCTGATTACATTAAAGCTGGTCTAAATATGTGTACTGACACATATAGATATGGATTAAGATCTACATCTCAACAAAATCTAATATTGCCAAGACCAAATTCTGAATTATTCAAAAAGTCATTTACTTACACTGGAGCAATGCATGCTGTGGAATAATTTACCGGTCAATATTAAAAATATGACCACAGTTTGTTCTTTCAAGAAACACCTTTAAGGCAGCATCTGCTATCTCTATATTTAAATGAGTAATGTTATTCACACAGGTTACCTAAACTGTCAAAATTTTCAAAGTTTCTGTGAACGTATTGATACCTTGTACTTTGATGTAAATTTTTGTACATATACATATGCTCAATTATATTAAAACTGTATTCCTCAGGGAAAGAATGCTGTGTGTACGAATGAGCAAAGAGTTTATGTGTCAAATCTTTACTGTTTTTTATCTGTATAATAATTTGATATTATTCACGATACGTTCGTTCAGATCTAGGCAATAGTGCATGTATCGTTTATCTAGTCAGCAGGTTAGTCTGATTACCAACTATTCATAAACAATAGTAGCTTTCAGTAATCTTACATAAGGTTTATTTGTTGTCCATGATTTTGTAGTTTGCATAATAATCTGTTTTAATGTCAGTTGACATGTTTGTTACATAAGTCTTGTACTAAATATGTAACACTTCTTAAATAAAGATAGTATTATTATTATGATGATGTACTTATAGCAACCCAAATAATTTGTGTCGACAACTTGTAAGTAACCTGTGAATTTATGTACTGTAAACATATATTTTTTATCTTTCCGAATGCGTCAGAGCTAAAAAGCATCCTCTGAAGTGAGAGGGTGATCACAATCTGTACATTGTTACAGTACGTTCCTGTTCTTAGAATACTGGTTTCAAAAAGTAAATGTTCAAAATAATACATCTCATAGCATGCATGTACGTCCGGTTTCGATGTCCCGATTCCGGACCTATAATTTGTATTTTAGTGTGCTTGTAGGTAAAATGATGAAACAGCATGTAACTTTCAACAGGTTTTGAACTGTTCACCTATTTGTCTATGAAAGTATTTGTTGGATTATTGAAGTGTTATGCAGTCAAAGTGAACGGTACGACGGCGACACTCCACTAAATTTCACCTCCATACCTATTTCGGCTTTTCCGCAGTTATACTGACGGAAGTCATTCCTTGAAGGAACTCTTTATTGTGGAATGCCACCTAGCGGATCCGCCTTATCGGAGTTTAACTCGTCCTGCAGGCTGTTGTTTGATCATTTGCTTGCATAATTGTATTCTGCTGGACGCACTGAAAACCTCTGTATAACAGGTAAAATTATAAAGACTACAGACCAACATACAAATAGTTTATAAGGTTATAATTCTTCACTACGAACTTCCGTTTAGAGTGGCGTTGTAGGTAAAATGTCACGCTGGTACAGTAGTGATCTGACGCCAATCATGTATTCGTAGGTTCGAGCCACACAGGGTGCAGCTCTCTCCACGTTTTGTTTTTTTCATAAATCATACAGTCAGCATTTTGATAATAAAAATGACACCAGACACTAAAGAAATAACACGTAATAGAAATAGTCGGTAAATAGCTCTTTAGAGCTAAATCACAGTATTGTGTTATAATATAACGTACCCAGTTATACTGAAAGTCTAAAACAAGATCAATATTAATAGTAGTCGCGTGCCCTTGTGAATTAATTGTCCGACTCTTAAATAAATATTATTTGATTTGTAATGCTTAATATATATATATTAGTCAGATCCCTATGCTCAAAAGAGTGACACACACAGGCATTTGTTTCTGTCAATAAAAATAGTCACGAAAATAAAGAACACCCTACTTTTTTTCCTCATGATTTTTTTTTAATTAACAGAAACAAATGCCTGTAGTGGCACACCATTATTTATACAGCATTAAAACCCCTTTCATCCAAGTGTGGCAGATTTTAATTGTACATAGGATTACGGTCGCCTTCTACCAATTCTATGCTTGAAACAAGGATTGGTCACGGGCACCACTATAACAGGAGTTGGAAAAATGCATGGCCAGATCTAGACCATGCAGGGTTCGAACCCGGGACCCTCCGAACTCTAGATGGACATGCTACCAATTGAGCTATAACTGGTCGCCGATTATCTACCCAATCCAGTTACGCTACACAGATATATGCTAAATGAGATTCATAATCATAAGTCCAAAGTTTATATTGTGTGGGGGAAATGTAAGGGTCGATGAAAGAATCAACTTCAGAAGTAGACTTTTTCAAGATTTAACACCTCAACCCCCATTTTCCCTATAAAGTGAAAATATACCCACCCGGCAGAGCCATGCAATCTTTTAAAGATTTTAGCTATATAGCTCTAATTTCCCAGTTTTTGGCATTCCTCAAATAAGATTTAACATTAAAATAAGATTAAATACCCTTGGGCAAGGGATGATTTGGCCACATGTACACCAAACTTATAGACATGACTCACTTAGCTCTTAATTGATATGACCAAATTAAAAGCTCATTTTCGTTCAAATCTATGCTTCTGTATCACATTAATTAAATATACATTTTTTGTGTGATCATAGATTTCTTTTTAATGTTGTTCTCAGCTGAACTTGGAGCTTATTATGATGTTAAAACGGCATTGATTGAACTAATTACTAATGATTCTTTACCTGCATTTAGAGAGGATGTCGAGCAATGCAGTGTGCAGTCATTGTGGCTGTACGGACATAGACAAGGACCCAGCCAGAGGAGATGCTGTCTGTACTAACTGTGGGTCTGTGTTGGAGGACCAGATTATTGTGTCAGAGGTCCAGTTTGAGGAACATGCCAGTGGAGGATCCTCTGTCATTGGACAGTTTGTGTCCAGTGATGGTAAGTTTCAGCAGTGCTATTTAACAGGGGATGTTGACATGTTAATTAAAAATTAATTAAAAATAGTTGCAGGGTTAAAACTAACACATACATGATGTATAGTAGCAAAATTCCTCAGTCACTCGCAAATTTCTGCAAGGGGTTTTTATGCCTCTGGAAATGTGATTTTTTTATATATATAATGTACCACGATGTTGTAGAAACACACCCATAGGGCCATAATGTGTCTCATTGATAGTTTGTCTTTCTCTGAGTATATGTTCTCCGTTTTTTTCCTCAGATTTTCATTCATATTATCTTTGATGAAAAGATTGTTAAAGTTTCAACCTTGGCAATTGTGATGTCAAATTTTTATGTTTCCAGGGATGAAGGCCCACTCTTTAGGCATAAGCTTTCCAAGGGGAATGAAGAGAGAATCTCGTACAGTCACTTTTGAAAATGGTGAGTCATCAAATTACATTAATACAAGATTTTGTGTTAACATTTAACTAATGATAATGTAACATTTGCCATTCGGGAGTAAAATGATCAGAAATATATATATGTATATATTTATCTTTGTATATATCACACTTACTNCCCTTGGTTTCATTAATGCGATGCATGCGTTCCATGATGTTGTATTGCACTCATTGATCTACCAGTTATGTTGAATGATTTCTCTTTTAATATCAATTACTCACAAATACTTCATATATTTCAATCATACAAACAACTGCTCATTCAATGTGTGACGGGCGTATTATATACCGCTCGCGGTAACCTTGTATTACAATGACATCATCCCATTGATAAGAACCATAAAGTAATGGAATTACATAACACGTAAAAAGGTGGAGGAAAATTGGCGACTGGTTATATAAAATTATCCATTGGAATTTTGTGCACTGTCTAATTACCTTTTCAACTTGTGTGAGAATTACTGACAAATAGCACGTTTCCAATCCAACATTCATGGTAATATTATTTCAGGAAGAAGAAGAATCCAGCAGCTTGGTGCTCAGTTAAAGCTGAATCAACATTGTATAGACACTGCCTTCAACTTCTACAAGATGGCGGTGGTCAAGCAGCTGACCCGTGGCCGTAAAACTGCCCATGTGACTGCAGCGTGTCTGTACCTAGTCTGTCGTACCGAGGGCACACCTCATATCCTTTCTTGAAATTTCAATCTGATAAATACTATAATATAAAATGGAATGAATCCCAAGTTATATATGTTTGGTTCTGATCTCTGGCACCAATTATAATATATTTACATTTGTATCCCAAAAAACATACAGTTCATTCCAATGCAGATGGATGATAGCAAACAAAAAGCTTTCTCTAGACTGATAAGTACACTGTGTTGTCTTTTAATGACAAAAGTAGGCTATGCTTGAAATTATGTCAGAGAACAGGAAAGTTATGTATAGGTTTTAACTTTGATCTCGTGTTAATGGTTTCTCAAAATCAGTTGATAATAGAAGATAAAAAAAATCCTGAAATTGGACTGATTTTGTCTGTAAAATTTAAAGACTGGGTTGTACACTTCTGCTTTTCATTTCATCAATGATAAAAGTAGCATGTGCTTGTTCAATTGATCAATTTAACTCCTTAACTTTTTTCCACATATGCTGCTTGATTTCAGCGACGTACTTCAGGTAATTTTAATTATGTTATATAGTAAAAAGTAACAGGTTAAGAAAGATAACACAAAATGCAGTACAATGTACTATTTGTTGTATAACACTGCACAAGTTAACCCATTCTGTGCAGTTCAGATTTTGTCAGTGTTGAAAAGCAAATATTACTACATTTTCCCATGACATCTTTAAATAAGAAGGAAATAAAATGGAAGATCCTTGTTCAGGTTTCCCTGCAAATTTCAACAAAGATGAAATGTTTATAGATATACAGTGTACTTTCAAATAAAACTAATTCAAAATAATCTTGATACAGTGTACATGTTATTTCAAATAAAACAACAATTTTGATACATTGTACTTTTAAATGAAACTAAAATAGTCTCCAAATTACTATGTAGAGTTTTTTCAAATTTTTAAGCAGAAGAATAAGCCTGTACTAGTGCAAGTGAATTAATGTGTGGTTGACTAAATTAATGTTTTAAAGTTAGTTTACTAAGTACATCAATTATAACCTCAGCTTTTTCATTTGCAGATAAATGTATATAGTCTCGGTAAAACCTACCTGCAGCTATCTCGTGAACTTTGCCTCAACATTCCAGCCATAGGTATGTCACTGTTGCCTCAGAAGGTATCAGATTTCTGTAGTCTCAGTAGGTATTTAAGTACTGTACTGTACCAATAATCATGAAATAATACAAAAACAACTTCTTAAGCAGTTCCTGTTGACCAGAGATACCTTACCAAATATGATCAAAATGTCTTTCAATACAATCCTTTTAATTTATAATAGTTAATTTTTCAAAAGAACCTAAATGTTGAATATACATGTACACACAAATGTATACCCACATAAAGTTTAGAATAAATATGAGGATCACCATGCGATAGTGACATTTTTAAAGCTTGATCCATTTTATGGAAGGCTTCTAATGTTGCCCATGTCTGTAGCAACACATTATGTCCCGATTCAGTGTCATTGTCCAAGTGACTTATTTTGGAAAAACTTTGTAAACTGCTAAATTATACCTCAGATGAGTGTGTATGTCACCGTACACTGGTAAATTATACCTCTGATGAGTATGTATGTCACCGTACACTGGTGAATTATGTCTCCGATGAGTGTATGTCACCGTACACTGGTAAATAATGCCTCTGATGAGTGTATGTCACCGTACACCAGTAAATTATGCCTCTGATGAATGTATGTCACCGTACACCAGTAAATTATACCTCTGATGAGTGTATGTCACCGTACACTGGTATATTATACCTCTGATGAGTGTATGTCACCGTACACTCGTAAATTATACCTCTGAGTGTATGTCACCGTACACCAGTAAATTATGCCTCTGATGAGTGTATGTCACCGTACACTGGTGAAGTATACCTCTGACTATATGTCACAGTTCCAAGATCAAGATCACTGGTGCTATTAATATAAAATCATCAACAAATGAAACGTCTTTATTACTCTTTACAAAAGTCAGAACACCTTGTCTGAGTTCATATTTCTTCAGTGTATTTGAACAAAAAATAACACTACAAACAAAATTTAAAACTTTTCAATTATCATTTATTAGATTATGATTAGGTAGCTTTTCTTTGAAATTTGTAGAAGTGATATCTTACCGTAAATAAAGGACATGTACATAAAGTTACTGTAGTCTGTATAGTACTACGACATCCTTTGTACTGAAGATCTTTGTAAGGGGTCATAGTGATCTTAGTATCTGTGTTTACCTGTCTAATTTAATATTGTTTTTTAAACAGAAATATTAAGGACAGGAACACAGCATGGGGTTTACCAATACACAAGGTTTTGAAAATGAATGTAAATAATATATTCATCAACTTGGATTAGATGACTCGCTAAACTAATGGACAAATTTCCATGAAATTTTAACATCAATTCATTGAACAAAATTGCCTAGATGAAGGTACAGTATGATCAATACATGACANTTTTCAATTCAGAAAATTGACATTTTCTGATAATGACTCATATACATATAACTGCAATTAGCTATATTTTTGCCATTTTACAGGGAGTTGGGGGTATTAGCCTGTGGTTTAAAGTTCTGTTGGTACCTTCCAATATTTCCCAAGAATTGTTTTGTTTCCACAAGAACTTGAGATTTATGTCAAAAAAGTCATCAGACCGGGTTATATCTACGATAACAGTATAAGTTACTGGATCTTTTTAAGAAATGATTGAACTTTCAATTTAGACATTAATTTCCCCGAGATCAAAATTGTTTCAAAAAACTTTTTCAAAATTGTATCAGTTATTTTTGAGACTTTTACCCGAAACATTATACCATGATATATTATTTATTGTAATAGTTTTAATACCAATATGTACGTAGTGCTTATTACGTATACCCACTTATATCATTTCAATTTCTGAAAATGCTACCAAATGTTCAGACCCGTTTTCCATATTGCACAAAACCTATGCTGATCAACAGCACTCATATATAAACATTCATCTTATTCATACACTTCATTGGTCCGAAATAACTGTCTCCCTTAAAAAAAAAATGATGGGGTGGAGATAATCAGTTCGAACTAACATTTAATATTATCATCCTTTGCCTCATGAATCATATTGTAATGTACAAGTACCAGGGTATGAATACATTTCTGTTGTACAGAACTTAACAACTCAAAATCTTGGCATGAAAGCATAAAAGTTCTAACATTTATTTTTGATGAGCAAGTCCTGGATCAGTCATGTCATGACATAAAATTAAAACTTCAATCAAAAGTTCTGAATGGATTTGTGTTGATGTTCCTTGGCCAACAGAAATGATCACCATAGAAAACATAGAAAACATGAAAAACATGAACTTGTTCTTGCAAAATGGCTGTTTCAGTATTTGTTAAAACCATGAAAATGTATCAAAGTAAAATACACACAACCCAGAAAGAAATGTTTTCTTTGTTGTTTTGAATGTCAAGACTGAATTGCATTATATCTGTGAAATTAATGATGGCATGAAACCCAGTTGCCTTGCAACATATTTTGATATTTCCTATTGTGCATCATGAAATACTTAATAACTTGTACACCTTCATGAATGTTGGAGAAAAATACAATTCAATCTTTAAATAAGTATGATTTTAATGAAATACGTACAAGCATATATATAGTGTTAAATTTACTGTAATCAAGAATTAAATGTTAAGGTACATGTACAATAACTTATAAATTGCAAGCACGAAATAACATGACTATAATCATAAATCAAATGCCCATTTTGTTAACAATATGAATTAACATATAAAAAGTAATAGAGGCCATTAAAGGGGACCTGAGGCAAATCAGGAGACTAAATGTGATAAATACACAGTAAAATCAGCTGTAATGCGATGGGGCACTAAAAAGATAATGCATAGATTTCACGTCTTGATGCTATCAGCAGTAGAAGATTATTTCAGGTATCTGTCCGCCTTGCACTCCTGTTCCATTAGTGCTGTCTGAAGAACACTGAAACTGAAATGTCACTTTGTCACATTGAACCTCAGCAAGGCCTTCTTGGCCGAAGTAGCTCAACTCTCCCCCGTCTAACACTGCACTAGCATTATAGAACTGGTCTGGCTCAATCTGTATGGGATTATCAAACATCACAGAGAATGTGTTGCTAGAACCATCGGAGAAGAATTTAGTGAAGCACTGGCCAAGTGTGGTACCATTTTTCTTGAGTTCCATTCTGACTGTATACTCTGCTGCACCACTACTCGAGCCGTAAAGACCAAACCCAGCAATGAAAATTCTCTGGTCAACTGCAAACTGTATGCTGTCGCATCTGCCCCTGTAACGCCACTGATTGCTACGATAGGCAGAGGACTGAAACCTGTGACATCGGTATGGTTTCAGACCTTTACGAGGTTTCAATGGAAAGTTCAGTTCAGGACGTTTTCTTGCTGAATAGTAAATGAAAATATCATTGCTTTCTTGTAATGTCATGATGCCAGACTGGGCAGGACCATTTGCATATTCGTTGAGCTTCATGGTGGGGATACGAATTAAGAACAGAGCATCCCCTAATACTTTACGTTTGTTTTCAGATGTAGGCTCAATTTCACAACGCCTACATTCAGAATCTGCCCAGCGACATGTTGCATTGAACACAGAAAGTTCTTTGGCATTAAGAGTTTCTCTACCAAGGACAGTTTTGAGGGTGCTAATGTCAATTTCACAAAACCCATCTGATTTTAATGCCTCTTCTGCCTGTGCATCAATCACCTCCCAACACCTATGCATTAGCTCTTGTTCTTCAAACAGACGTCCTTGGCTTAGCAAAACACAGGCATTGTGTGCACTAAGACTAGTTTCCAGGTATCGAACACATGCCCTGGCCAAATGAGGCACTAGATACTTCTTTGCTGCATACAATGTAGCAAGCACATTGTCTGGTTCAACTTTGGTTTCATCACAATATAAGTACCTGCAGAGTAAAAAAAAATAAAAAAAATATTACATGTGTCTGTCATATGCAATACTTTAGCCAACAACAAAACAAAAGTTTAACAGATTTACATTTATATACATAATTAGGTACAACTACTGGTAAATAATTATGGAAATTTTAATTATTTCTTCTAGTTCATTGGGAATTTTTGTGGAATGTTTTTGTCAAGTTCTGATCAAGTCAATGTGAAATTTGCTCTTCAAGTCCAAAGTAGCATATATATATCGAAGAGAAAAAAGTTCAAAACAAGTTTAGTCCCAGTGAAATTTAAGTCCGGTCTAGATCTGCTTTGCAGAAAGCAATTTCATTCAGAAATAACTAAATAGTGTTTTTTTCCATAAGAAGAAAGTCTTTTAGAAATGCATGGGACTTGGCTTATTCCCAAAGTTTATCTGAAATATATGAAGGAAAGGATAATTTCAATTTTTTCTATTTAAAGTATAACATCAATCAATTTGCTTTTAAGAAGGGGTAGTTAATACCTGGGAAGGACTTGCAACTGGTAATTTTATATAATATCCAATGTGTTACATAAATTACCTGAGGAGATTCAAAAATGCTGCAGGTTCCACATCTGGTATGTCGATTTCCAACTGTTTGTCCGACAATCCACCATAAAACATTGCAAAGAATACAGAGCTTCCAGTACCAAGAATATATTTATGAGCAGGAATCTTCTGGCAGCTGTGTTGTGGATTTCCCACATTGAAAAATATGTCTGCCATGAGGGGATTATTGAACATGACTGCATTTCTTTCTCTGACATTTGACATGTTAGCCTGCCAATTAAACTCCTCACTGGCCTTTGCATTGGGGAGGGATGGTGGAGGACTGCGGGGAAGCTGCCAGGGAGGTTCTGTCTGTCGAATCTGGCGTTGCACTGGCAACTTCCCTCCAAAGTTTTGTGGGACCTCTTGATTGACTTCTTCATCGGAGTACTCCCGGGAAGGCTTAGCAAACAGGCAGCTCTTGGGCTCAGTTTTCATTGGCTTATCCATCTGAAAATCAAGCAAACATATTAGATATCAAGATGGTTAGTAATATTGTGAGACACCAGTTTTTATTTTAATTTAAAAATGTTAAATTGTGCACTTAATAATGTATGCACTGGATGAGGACCTGTTCCTGTGCCCTTACCTTCTGTGTATAACTGCATGTGAACATATTCAAGTTTTTTATGTCATCTTTTGGGAAGTAAACGCAAACAGTTACCATATCTGCGAGAATGTTGAAGAAAATGAAGCAAAAACAAGTAAATGAAATGTATTTTACACAAAAAACTAAAATCTGGTCACCTGACGCTATATGTAAATGATTCATCTACAGTAGCGCCAACACCAGATCTAAACTTTTGACAGCCTATACGGTATACCTATAGCTACTAGCTGTGTAATAGGTTGGGCACAACGGCGCATATAGGTAATAATCCTGCACTTGGGTAACAGTTACTCATTTGAGTAACAATTGTACTACAGAAATGTTCTTTAACATTATGAACAAAAAAGTGTATCATTCTTTCAGCATAATCCAATAATAGTTGTTTAAATTCTTGTGAAAATAACAAATTGTATCACCTCCATTGCTGAGTGTGTTGTAGAGTAGATATACTTTATAAATAGCACACAGTAAGAAATCATGCTCATGATCACCTGTCACATTTGCAATGGATTCGGATGATACCATTGACTACACACCGAAGTCAATAAAGAACAAAGTCAGTGACATTGTTAGGCATTTTCACAAAAAGTTCGACATGATTAGAATTGATAACCTTTTGTGTACAAATGTACATTATTGTGTTATTTATTGGATTTAATTGAAAGAATTAGTGTTTTATTTCACTTAATCCTCCATTGCAATAATAAAATTGTTACTCAAATGGGTAACCGTCACCCAAATGCAGAATAGTTACCATATATGCGCCGTTGTTATTAATCAACCTGTGTAATTTATTTGCAAGCGGCGGTCACTGGTCGGCCGATTTTCTATTACATGTTGGACATAACTGGCAGTAAAAAAGTACCCGATGTTTGTGCTAAATCTATACCATCATAAGATGAAAATAGTCTCGTATTGAGCTCCGTGTAGTTTCATTTAACCATGTATATACATTACAGTAGGCCTACTATATATAGCCAAACAGTAACAAATTACTGAAACATTGCAACCACCGGCCGATCATTGAGCGGGGGCTATGCAACTTTTTTCGAGCGAGGTGTCGATTGTGGACATCGGATCGATGTATAAAGTCTTGGAAAAACGTATCACGGCTGCAATAACACCATCTTTACCTTTAGTTTCAGGATCGTGAAGAAATATCTTCGTGTCTAGACGGAAAACAACATTTTGTGTATAGAAAGTGACATATCCCAGAATGCATTTTATTCAAGGGCGATAACTAGCACAGCAGATGCCAATGGTTGCACTACAGGAAATAATGAAAAGCAATGATGGCACATACTAATTCACTGGTCTTTCGCTGTAAAATATATATTCAAAATTGCAGGATATAGGTACAACATGGGAGGGTGATGTGTCGCATCCTAAAAAGACCTCACTGTGACCTCAATTTGACCTTTACCTAAATCACTCAAATATTGGCTTCTGAAGCAGAACTCAGCTGCTGTTTCATGAATGGACATCAAACTTTGTATATAGGTACATCATGAGAAGGTCGCATGTCACATTATAGAACAAGGTCACATTGACCTTGACCTAAACTACTCCAATAATTGCTTCCAGAACAGTTCTCAGCTGCTGTTTTTCATGAATGGGCATCACTTTACTTTGTATGTACATCATTGGGAGCTAGCAGTAATATGTCACATCCTAGAAAATGGTTACATTGACCTAAATTTTACCTGTGACCTTGACCTCAAGTACTCAAATAACGACTTTCAGAGCAAATCTCAGCCACTGCTTAATATGAATTGGCATCCAACTTTGTATATCATTTAAATTTGAGGCAGTGTGTCACATTTAAAAACAAGGTCACATTGACCTAAATTTTACCTTTGACCTTGACCTCAGGTACTCACAAATTGTTTCTTGAGTATAACTCCGCCACTGTTTTATGAATAGGCAACCTTTGTGATATGTACATTATGGAAAGGCAGTGTGTCACATCCCAAAATGTTGTCACTGTGACCTCAATTTGACTTATGACCTTGACCTTAATTACTAAATTTTGTGTATCTCAGGTTTCGACAGCATACCTTGGCTATTTTACCATGAAAATTTGTAATGTGGAGAGTTGTATCAACAGTTCCTTGATTAACTGCATTTAAGAAAAATAAAGCTTCACTAAATCTGCCTGTCTGATGTTTTTTTCAAAAACATGACTTTTATATTCATATTAAGCTGTTCAATGTCATTTGTACATGCATTATATTTATAACTTTCTAAAACATCATCAAGGTAAAGGTAATCAAAATGTTATGTGGAAACCTGTATGCCCTCTGGCATGGTACTGAATGTGTCCACTTGTTTATTTTTGTCAAATTATCTTCAAAATCCCTTTTTAGAAAATCAGTTAGGAAAACTTGAGATGAACCTTACCTACTCATGTTCATCTTGGCCCCCCTTTGTGCCTCTACATGTGAGGGTATGGCTGTGTGGGCAAGGGGTTAATTGTATGTGTCAGGTTTTATCAGCTTACTGCAGCACAGAAACTGCAGGCAGGTGGAGTTGAATAACAAAGGTTAAATGTCTTTCTCAATGACACAAGTACATTAATCTGCTGCTGTATGTGGGAATCCAACCTTACAAGTTGACACACTACTAGCTCTGTATATACATTTTGATAATATCAGATGTGAACTGTCAAGGTCACATGATCTCTTAGTGTTTGTTTTGGCTTATGTCATATGATACATATATATTGTAATGCTCTGTGTGGTGTATTATTGTGTTTTTAATGAAACTATCAAATGTCCTGTCTACTTCTGGTGTAACTAATCATACAATGCTCTACTTGCCAGATCCTTGCCTGTACATACAGAGATTTGCACACAAATTAGAGTTTGAGGATAAGACCCACGATGTCTCTATGATAGCTCTACGACTTGTCCAGCGGATGAAAAGAGACTGGATGCATACAGGTCGCCGACCTTCGGGACTTTGTGGTGCAGGTACTTGATAATAATTACCAAACTTCAGAGATGTATTTCTTTAATACATTTAAAAAATATTATCTCAATGTTAAACTATTTGAATACTTTTTGGGTGTGTAAAATTTCTGCAGTACCATTTTTGTTTTTGTTGTGCCTGTCAAGGTAACGCCATATCCTAATATACATGATGTCTTTATTGATGTGTTCCCCAGCTTTACTAGTGGCAGCAAGAATGTCCAACTTTAACAGAAGTGTCAAAGATATCATTAAGGTTGTGAAAGTGTGTGACACAACAATCAGGAAAAGGTGAGATTTTGACAGTTATCTGTTTCCTTCTTTGACTTTTTTACCGTTTACTCTCATGAACTGGATGGTTTAACTTTACTGTTGTTGTCTTAATGTTTTGTTACAATGTATCTTGTCACATTTCCTGGTACAGTGTATACCCGACAAAAGACAAGACATTAATGGAAACTATATAAGCAGTAAAGATTGATGGCCCCAATATAACACATTTATGACTTGTTGCAGTTTTTAATTGTAAGAAATTCTTCAAATCAAGACTAATAAAGGAAAGTTATTAACTCAAGAAAAGATTTGAATGATAACTTACCTGGTGTCTGATTTGAAAAACGCATTTTTTCAATATTTTTACCCTTTCAGTAACTTTCGCTTGATATAGTGTATTACATGTATGTCACTGCTTATTTTTTTTTCTCTTATATTTAATGATGGATAACATAGTAACGACATAAACTGGCTTGTTCCTACAGACTTGCCGAGTTCCAAGACACCCCCTCTAGTCAGTTAACTATTGAAGAGTTCCAGAACATCGACCTGGAAGCTGAACATGATCCCCCATCCTTCACAGAAGGCAAGAAGCGAGCACAACAAGCTAAACTCAATGCACAGGTACTTGAATATATTTTAATGATGCATTGAAAATTACACACAGGGTAAATTGAATCTGCAATATAGCCTTACAATTTCTGATCAAGTATCACTACCTAAAAATCTTATAAACGTAAATTCAGCAATGTGCAAATTTGATGGCATTCTGGTTAAATATAAAAAAAATAGTAACATTAATTATTTTAAAAGACTAGTTAGTGATTTTGTATGCATTTACTTTCTAGCTGGAAGAAAAGAACAAGTTGAATGAACTGACATTTGAAGTATCCGAAATTCAGGAAGAGATTGAAAAGTCCTTACAACCACCAAAACCAAGGGGAATCTGGGCAGCTTATGCAAGTTGGTATAATATACACAACTGTAGTAACAATTGGGATCTTTTCATAAACATATCAGAACATTCAAAATATAGTGGTATATTAGAACTGAAATGATTTGAAAATGATGGAGATTATATTATCTTTGTTTTAAACATTCTTATACCAGTAAAGAAGTCATAAATTATATAATTTAGCACTCCTGCTGATAGGGAATTGAGAAAAAGTATACCTACTTTTACTCACTGCATGATCTTAAGAGGTGACCAATGGTATTGAGCATTCACCTAAGCGAGGAAGGTTATGGGTTCTGTCCCTAGACCAAGGCAAACTTTAGTCCTGAAATATTTCCTTTTAAATAATGACAAAAAAAAGATTTTATGCTAGGTTTAATTTGCAAGTTTAAGTTAAATGAAAATCATGTTCAAATTGAAATGATGTCCAGCTAACTATTGTAAAATGACTTCCTTCATTTTCAGAGCCAAGCACTCCATCTCCATCCACATCGGGGACTGATGAAATAGCCAAAGTGCAAAAATTTTTAGAGAAAGAAACTTTAGCAGGATGTGTAGATGAACAATCTTTGTCTTATGTTGGGGAATCTAGTACCAAGAATCCTGAGATTGATGCAGCTGCCTCAAGCTCATCATCAGCATCTTGTACCACTGGACCCACAGGCAAAGATTTGGGTATAACTGAAGTTGAAGTTGTCAAGGATTGTTTAATCGATGATGACACACCAGCTGATGGTTAGTAAACAGAGACATCTGGGACTCGTTGGTTTAAACAACAGAGTGATACACATGTTGTACTCTCAGGTAACAGGCTAATGGCACAAGTAACTAATTCTGATTTGTTTTTGTCTGTTGTTCTCCTTCGTGTGTTGTGTCGGTAAACTTTCCACTTTTCCTACTATATATACCTTTTGTCAATAAACGTATTGATGGAATTCATCCAAGCTATGCAGTAATCATCATAAAGGGAATGGGGGTATCAAATTATGTGTGTGTGGGATGGGGGGTCTTGATCCTACAGGGGTCAAAGTTAAAATTTTCATAAAATAAGAACTTCTTCAGATCAAGGAACAATCAAGTTATTCAAGCATGCCAGAGATTCAAAGTGTAGGGTCCTGATGCCTTGGGGAGCTTTGAGTTGACTTAATAATTGGTAGATGGTGCTAATAATAGAAGACACTAAGGTCTGTGGACCTCTAGTTGTATATGATAGATAAAAATGTTGCAGAGAGTACATGAGGGCTACTTAAAATAATTAGAAGAGCCTTCTTTTATGTACCAAGTGTAAACATGTGGAAAAATGTGATAAAATTTTACAATGTAATGTACCTTGATTTGTTTTAATCTGTATTTGTTTAACCCTTTCACCACTGTAGACCATAATGGACTCGTCCAGATCAATGTATGGTAGAGTCTACTAAAGTTACCTAGGGGTGAAAGGGTTAATATTAAGTATCATTACTTTCAATATTACCTCATCAATATTTTAGATATGTATCATTGTTTACGAATATTCAGTTTATGTGATTGTGAACATGAAACAACAAAAACAAATGTCTTTTTCTTTGTAGCATGTGATGGTACAACAGGAGAATTGGACCTTGCAGGAATAGATGAGGATGAGTTAGACAAGGTAATGGAGAGGACTAAATAGACGTGTCACCTATTTATGATCTATATCGTGTACCATAAGATTATTTAAGATAGTTAATGTCGACTTGTAAAGATACCAGTGTAGACCATTGTACAGCTACGGTAGGTAGGATAAGAATATTTTACATTGAATTTCAATATTTGAACAATATTAAATAGATGAATATCCTGTGTTAATATCTGTTGAGTAGGTTTGATTGGTTGTCATCTTGTTATTGATTACATTTATACAGAGAAATAATAATACTGTCAGCATCAACCAATATATGTATTAAGTTATTCTATAACTTAATCTTTGTTTAGATGCTGCTGAGTGAGGATGAAATAAAGATTAAAACTGACATTTGGATGAAAGAAAATGGTGAATTCCTGCAAGCTCAGAAAGGTGCTTAATATGAACAAATAGTGCTTTATACAAAATCAACATTGAGAGCTGTCAAAATGCAGTTAAAGTCAATATTGTCAAATAGCCTGTAAAAGAGTTTATTGTAGTAATTGTCCAGCTTAATGCATTTCAGTTATGGACATTTTTGATATGGAAACAGAACACTTAGTCTTGTTCAGTGTTGAAGAAAATGTTTGATTTCAGCATTTACTTACTGTGGAATGCATGCGTTTTTTTTTATGTAAAAATTATACCTTTAAGTGTGTGTTTGTTTATTCACTTAATTTTAGCGCAACAGGTTCGAAGGTCCAAGGTGAGCTTATGCCATACCGTGGCATCCGTCGTCTGTACGTCAACAATTTCTATAAACAACTTCTCCTTCTTAACCACTGATTTGAATTTAACTAAATTTGACTGGAAGCATCCCTAGGTGGTTGGGATTCAAAATTGTACAAATGGTGGGGCTGAGGGGTGGGGCTAAGAGGGGGCAATTTGGCTATATTGCTACTTCTACTTCTACTTCTAAATGGTACTGACCAACTTCAACAATTTGAAGATAAAATGTCAGACGAGGAGTGAAACATGGAAAGAGATTGTTTTTAAAAGATACGAGATGGTCTAATTTGCGTTTGAAAGGTGACGGTAGAGGGCTGATTTGAATAATTCCGTTGTGGGGCTCGAAATAATGTCAGGTGGGAGTTTATTCCACTCGGGTATAGTTCGAGGGAAGAATGATGCCTTTCTGGTCTGGGTTTTTGAGTGGGGAATTTGATACGAAAACTGGTGGTTTGTTCGGGATTTTCTAACTGTAGGGATTAATCTGTCTGATTTTACGATAGCGACTTTCTGGTTTACAATGTTATGAAGCATGGTCAGACGAGCATCTCTACGTCTATCTGCTAGAGGGCGCAGCTTTAGGTGGTCCAACATTTCTGACACACTGGAGGTACGATGGTTGTACCTGTGCTTATTGAGCACATAGCGCGCTGCCCTTCGCTGGACCATTTCCAACTTGTCA